ATACCTGGCCAGAACACCCGTTGTAGTAATTCATTTACTTGGAGCAAATGTTCCGGTTGGAAATAACAGAAATCTATAGAAAGTGGATTGGTATTCTTTGTCTCGTTGTCATAGAGGCGTTTGGAGCCTCGAATAACTCTGCAGTGCATTACGTAATAAGCCTATCTCTTGGTGACTGATAATCACCATTTCACATCTTTCCTCAACTTGCTTTACAAGATATGTCATGTAATTAACAATGCCCTCGAGAATAGATTCGCGGCCTAGAGAATTTGGTCATAGTCTACGCACTTCCACTTTATTGCAAAAACAGCACGGTACCCATGTTTTGTGTCGCGTGCTCATTTATTACGTCATTAATAGATAATGGTAACACAACGCGCCATAAACTTTTTGGTGACTGTACTCGCTTTGATACTCTTGAGATTGAGCAGAGAAGCTAGCTAGCGTCATGGACGAAATATTGACGAAACTTGCTCTCCACACTGCCACACTGGCAAGTACATAGAAACAGATGTTGGAATTATATACGTGTATAATTAAGATCGTACGTACAATGGTGATAAATGCCAATATTTACTTCACTAGGTCGGCAAAGCAGCATTTGCTTACAGTACGAATTATGCAATGGTAAAGTATCTATTGCGAAAAATCGTTGACATCATAAGCTATCTACTTACTCGGCCAAAAACTTGTTTGTTGTAGAGACAAGTCGCCAGTTACATTAAACAAGACTCTACAGTTCGTAAAATAGATACGAGTGAACTTGAGCGTGCTCGTGAGGTACTACTGCGGCTGACCTTTATGTTGGAGTATATCGTTTCGTGACTCGTTATTAGCAAAGTATACTGGTTGCTACTGGTCAACTTTCTAACGATCTACTGCAATAAATAGTGGATTTATCGCGTGTTTTTTTTCACCCCTTTTGGTTATCGTGTCTCTTTGTAACGTAAGTTCACATCTTCTTTTTTTCTTCTTTTGCTATCAAAGAGTCTGGATATAAGTATTAAGATTGTTCAGCCAGCCATTGACCTTATCGAGATTATAAGTCAACGCGGTAACACATCTCTTGAGCCGGCAGTAGCAAGAACCCTACAGCTGCGTAAAGAGATCGATGCGTTCGCCCATAAGATTACGATGGAGACTTTGACGGTCGAGGCAGAGGATACAGAAAAGATGCGTAAATTTGATCATATGTCAATGATCAAGGACATGCAAGCATTGACCAACAAGATAGAGAAATTTGTACCATACTTGAATCTCGTACTAACGACGAGTGGAACTAATGTAGGACGCAATAAAATGACAATAGTTAATGCCTCATTTATTCACATTAGTTTGCTGTCATTCTAATTCTGCATTCGCTTTTCTTTTCTTTTTTCCTGATTATCAGCTCGGCTGGTCTCTTCCTAATTCTGTCAGTCCATCACGATTAATGCAGGCATCCTCTCTGTTAAATGACACTCATCACAAATTCATCAAATCTACCGAGCCGTCTACTCGCGTTGGCTCTCCTTTCAAAGTGAAGCTATATTATCTATTTGCGGGTAATGTTCGTCCTAAATCGGTTGGCGATTTTACCTGGAAAGAGGAATTTACAAAGTGTAATGCCGAAGTCATTCGAATACGAAATAATAATAATGGTAATGAAGAAGAAGGAGAGTTTTGTTACGAGTTAGTATTGACGGAAGATCTTAATGATGGTCGATATCACGAGGAGTTTGATATGGGCGATAGAAAGAAACAGAAAGAAACTATTGCTAAATTAGGCAAGAGTAACGTAACTATTCCCGGAAAAGTGAAAAGGATTACTGTCAGAAACATATCAAGATTATATTATAATTCATCAGGATCATTATTAAATATAGAAGAGAGTAAATCACCCGTATTGGTTATCACGGTAATTAAAGCTAATAGACACGAAACATTATCGAGTGAAGTAACCGACCCCAATCCATTGTACGTTCCTCCTCCTGCTACTGCTACTGCTACACCAGATATGAGAACTAGGAATTCATATGATACTGGTAATACCGATTGTTATGGAATTGAGTTGTTCCAGGAGACAGATCCAGCTATCATCGGAGAGGAGGACGTGGAAGAGGAAGGGGAGGGAGGAGAGGATGCTAATGAAATAGATAGCGATGGAGAAGTGTCAGCTCCATGTAGTCCTACACCAAAGGCGCAGACACCAAGTACACCTTTGCGTGATCTATCCTTGATTAATAGAGGCTATTCTACACCTCAACCAGTGAAAATTCTGTCGGAAATGGAGAGTCTCAACACTCCTTCAAGAATACCATTACCTCAAAGTGATGATGACATAGCGAGTGACGAGGGCACAATAGAGGACGATTCAGTTGGTGTACAAGATCCAACAACCGAAACCAAAGCTGAGAATGTTACTTTGGAAGCATCTTCCGAGCGGGTTGCACCTAGTGGTCAAATACAAGATGACGGTATCGTAGATGATAGTGTTGACGATAATGATGATGATAGTGAGATCGATGACCCGTTGGATGATTTTGAAGCGTATCGATCTAATCTCAAGACACTCAGTCTTTTCGAATACATTCTTCGATTGAGTGCTCTCGAGATGTCTGAGCAGAAACAGCATCTTGAGATAAGTGATGAGAAAATTAATCTCTTCATTAAAGACGATGATGGAACTTCCACTTCCACTTCTAGCTCCTCAGTTGGATCCGTAAACGACTCTCCGGGTGCAAACAGATCGCCGCCTCGCACTGCATCGAGAAGAAAAATGTCAACTTCAAAAATGTCAAAGTCAAAGACATCAAGAAGACTCTTATTCATCTCATAAAATGACAGAGCAATCAGGTCATAACTTTTGACGTTCTTGGATTGTTATTAGTAAAATTGGCGTTTGTGTGGACACTTGCGTAATTAGTACACTAGGTTTACAGTCGCTATCCCTATTGTCTGTATGATTAAATTGACTTCCTTCAGTAACAAAATATGTGCGCTTTTCAACTTTCATGTTTAAATACGGCAACTAATCCATGACCTGAGTTACTAATAAAGAATGCAAATCACTTATTCTGTTGAACTTGACAGAATATATTAATATTAGTGCAGATTTTGCTGAGCCAAGATAGTAAAGTATAAATCCGGATATCACAACCCCCTTCTAGTGAATCGTCGATTGATCGGGCACCAACCGACGATGATCATGACGCTTACAGTTGTTCAATATCAGCATGACATACCGAGTGGGTCCTGTCAACAATAATTCACCATATCATTAGTTTTCATTTCGAGTGGTAGACGGATGTATTTGCTTAACGTTTTTTATGGCAAGTTGTCTTTCTCCCCTTTATTATGCTGATGTATATATACAGGAAAGTAACCAAAGTAGGAACATGCAAAACAAGAACGTTATACAATCTTGAAGGTTCAATTGCGTATTGATAATGATCTCATTATCAGCATGCTTAAATTAAATTTTATTTTATCAACCGCGACCAAGCAATAATTCAAAATATTCATTCAAAACACTCATAAATTATTGCGAGTCAAGAAACAGTTCCTCTTTGCATTCTTATATTTTTATCCTCTGGCAAAAATAAAATCGCGTAACAGAAAAAGAAGAGTTCCTTCAAATCTATTTCACATTATCGCCAAATGTTCGACAAGTATTAATGGTGAAAATATAAAACAACAGAACATACAGAACATACAACAGGAGGGATTAACACAACACAATAGCAAAACAACAAACGCTATCGACGAGATAGAGTGCGACCAGATAGCCTTGGAGAAGCATTATAAGTCTCCAGCGCGACAGGAGTGACGTTACCAGCAGCACACGCTGCAGCATATGCAAGGGGAATATCCTTTTTCATTGCCGGAGACATATTTTTGTCACGTAACTTGGCTAAATCTGCCTCGGTATCAACACTAAGAAGAGTCAGTTTTGAAGGAGGCATCCATTTCCTATTGCAAAAAACAATAGACGATCACCAAAGTTAGAACACGTCCGACGCATACGCACGATTGTTCGTTGGTGGAGAAATGGAAGCATGCTAAGACGCTGACAGATACACGTAGTATTAACTACCTACCATGATCGTGGACGCCCTTTTCTGCCTTTCTTCTCGTCGAAAAAGTTAACTAGATACTCGTCCCGCGATGTCCTATCAGCAAGGATCTCCGGAGTTATTTCTATGCTGTCAGGATCAACAACCTACGGATGAAGTATATGATAAACAATGGATTCAAATGTCAGCATACCTTATTCAATCAAATGCCTCACCTCTCATTCCACCAATTTTACCTCAGCTGGGTACCAAGGAAACCCAGTCATCTTTGCCCATACAAGTGTCCCAACTGGATATCTCTCGCTTGAATCATCAACGTTTTCTACAATGACATCCGTAGTATCTGAGTTCACTTTCAAATTGGAGGCCTGATGTTTCGTAGCTTATTTATTTCAAGTTGCAGATATTACCAAAATCAGTTAAATCGACAGCAAACAGATCGTTCTCCGAGTGTATTCGAAGAACCCAGTATCAACCGCTTACCCGAAATAACAACGATATCCATATCGCTAACACCGTCTAATGAAGCAGATGATATTGCTTCCTTGTCACTAGAATCTTCCTCGGAGAGATAAACCCAACCTTTAGGCAGGCGCTTCTCTTCATTGCCAGCGGCCTGAGCTAATGCTACTTCTGCTTGCTCCGCAGCTAGACGTGATTGTGATCGTGTAGTACGAGGAGATACCGCTGGATGTATATGCGATGCGGATGCATTAACTCGACGTCGTTTAGGTTTTGGGGTTGTTGGTTCAATAGGCTCGGACTGTTTTTCAATTATTCCTGGTTCGGGTGATGGCGGGCGTAGCGGACCGAGAGCATCACTTGCTATTTCGGGCCTTATGCTGTATTTCAATATTTGTGTATTGGGTATGAATTGTAGACTGGCATAATCGGATTCTGCTTTATCTAAAATGTCCTTTGCTTTTATACGTATACTTCGAGCTGAGCGATAGTATTTAGTATTGGATGCATTGTATGTCATAGCGTTTTCGAAAATCAAGTTTATATCTTGCTAGAAGGTCAAGGTAAAATTTGCAGTAGACATAATTAAAAGACATGTGTAATTTGCATCTGTAAAATACTATTAGATTGACTATACAACTATTACCTTAAATTCCTCCATATTGTTGTAAATATGACCGTCTATTTTCTGTCTTATTGTTCCAAAGTCCATGGGATGCTTAATAATATCAAAATAGTCAGGTGCCTCTTCCAATGTTACTGGTCTTGCGAAAAATCCATCATCATCGTATCTACATGAAAATAGGAAATGAGTAAGTGAACACGTACCAACCCAATCGAATCCAATACACTCTATCACCATCACTTACGCCTCTATCTGTGATAGTGCTTCTCGTTGTAAGTGATATAATGGGAAGAATGATATTTCCAAATAGTCTCTCACGACCTTTATTCGGCGCAGTTTGAATTTCTCTCGTCTTGCTACCAAATCAGCCAATAACCTCACTTTCTCCAGATCAGTACGAAGATAACGCATTGACTATCAAAAAAGAAATTCGTTAATCATGTATTATAATGCAATAACAGTGACAGCCTAATACGCACTTGATATTTCTTCGCTCTTTCCGCTTCTGACTGTTTGAGTGCGGACGCAGATGCAGTCCATGGCTAAAAGTAAGAGTAGTTACGTGTTAATAACTTTTATAGTCAAACAAAAGCATAACGGAATAGAACCCCATCGTTATTCTCATTACCTCTAAATGTAATCTCTTAAGAAGAGGAGCCCCACGTCGACTACGTCTCTTTAAAGACCAATAAGCGCTTATATCCCTCGCGAGCTCTTTCGCCTTCTTCAACGAACCTTTTTGTTTATTCAACACAGCCACCAGTAACGCTTGTATATTCGCTGGCACTTCGTAAGTAGTAGACGAATACGACCAATTATACGCTCTTGCTGCCTTAGGATCAAGACTCTCGTCGACAAATCTCAACTGCTCGGAATTATTATTCTTGGTCGACATATTGGCACGGCGTGTAGAAGTTTTTTCTTCACCCCCACTTTCATCTTCTGCGTCAGATTCAGAAGAATTTCGATTGTCATATCCACTGTCGCTCGCTTCAGGTTCATATGTGGCGTCACTGTCATCATCTGAGGAGGGGAAATAGGGGTTTCCAGGTACGTACTCATCATCTTCAACTGGCTTACGAGGTTTACGACCGCGAAGTTCGGCGAAAGATTTCACTACTGCTTCAAGATGTTCCTCGACTTTATTTTCTGTTCTGTACTCGGCCTGTTTAAATAGTCATGTTATTAGCTAACTGAAAACAGAAATCCAAACCATAAAATGTAAAGTACTTACAGGACCATGTTTATGACAGAACGCCCAATGCCTGCCAAGTTGATCCGGTTCATTGTAGGGTGACTTATGCTTAATATAGAATTTGGCTTTGCGTCCGCATGTAACATGAAATGCTGCAAAACATTTCGGATCTTCACACTGGATGCAAGCGCCCATCTTTATCTTACATATATAGCATGTCTAACGTAAGATGCCGATTAAGTCATGAGAAACCGATAAAAAGAAAAAAGGGAGTGTTAATATTACCACCACTATTATTATTATTCTTCTTCTTCTTTACTACCACTATTAAAGAAAATCTTTACTTACTAGTAGCCAGCGCGCTTTCGGCACAGCATGTACGTTATCAATTGGTTCCATATATACAGTGTTTGTGACTAAGACTTCGGGTATATACAAAGCGCAGAGTAAATGTGCCCATTGATTAGATGTGGTCTGTTTGAAGGCACCGCCTTCGTTTGGACAGAATACACATGACTACAAAAGCATAATGAAGGATGAGAAATGCATCGATAAATACCACAGAAAAAGACTTTTCTAGTCATCGCTTACCACCGGACTTTCAGGGGATACCATGCACTTTCGACATAGCCACTGACCCTCTGGTATATATGGTATTCCATAACAATCTAAATGATGACAATCAATTATTATGGATACATAATATTAATCATAAGTAGATGCTATGAATTTACCTTGATGTACAGCTAAATTACACCCATCACAGAACACAATGGCATTGCTATTTTCAGCATCACTCTCTTCACAAATTGAACATACACTCTCTTCTGCTAATAATGATTTAGCAGGTGACTTTGGTGCATTCTTTGTCTAACGTTAAAAACATAACATATTTATGCATCGGAATACGAACGAATACGCCTTTAATTGGCAAGACCCTCTATCCAGTATCATTACACACTTACTGCCTCAAACCACTCTTTTTCTAACCGGTCGATATAGGCCTCGAAAGTATCATGAGTAACTTCGCCGAGATCCATTGCTTTTCTAGCTTCATTTATTTCTTGTAGCCAGTAATCGTCTAATAGGAGCAATAACAGTTATGTATAGACCAATAGTACAAACATAAAAAGAATTTAAAATAATAATCTTACCTTGCTCATCCATATCATATTCAACTCTCGCTGCAAGATCCATCTCTGTTGGCTCTAAAATGTAAATAGACCGAAAAATAGTATTACTTCCCGCCATGATTGTCTATAACAATCCGTTTTTACATACCTTCATGTTTAACGTAATGCCCCTCAGGTCGAATGAATGGCCTATCATCAACATCCTGTTCAATACTTCTAAATGTCGCTTTAGGTATCCGTTCTAGTATCTTTCTCTTAATCTCTTCGGCTCTTTCTACATTAGTTTTTGGCGCTGGAGGTGGAGATGGAGACGGCGGTGGCGGCAGGTCTATAATCTCTTCCACAGTCGTCTGAGCGGTAGGCGATTGATTAGGAGGGGCAACAAATATTGGCGTTATCCTCCTAGGTGTAGGCGTAGACGTCGGACTTGCTATATTAGTAGCAGGCGGAGGCGAAGGAGTGCGCGATCGCGGTGAGGGAGAGGGCGATCGTGGCGCAGACTGTCTTGTCAGTTCACTCTGCGTCAATAGAGGTTGACTGGGTGTTGGTAGTTGTGGATCAGCGAACTCTGGTGGAGGGGTAAGCCTTCCCACTCTAGGTGGCACTATGTCTAGCGACTCTTCGATGTCAAGATCAGTATAAATGTCCGTGTACGATCTTTCCTCTCGAGGAACAACATCGTCGTAAAGTAAAGAAGGATCGAGAGGGGCGGAGGCACCATCGACATCCGATATAGGTATGTGTTTTGAGTTCCGAGAAGCATTACGACCTCTCCTTGTCTTCTTGCGACTACCCACTCCCTTGCGGCTTCTCCTTGCGTCTGCGTATCGGTATGATGTCCTTGATTTTGGTTTTGTCATATAATATGTTTTGTGGGTTCGTATTATGATAATAATGAATGGCAGCAAAAGCGTGTATTAATGTGAATGATCGTGAAAAAAGAGAAGCCGTAAAAGAGTTTGGAGAAAAATCTAAGTTTTTGGGGAGTTATTTTATTCGTTACATAGTAAAGTCCCTATCTTGACTGGCTGCGCCCCAAAAATTTTATTGGCCAAATTTTTACAATACATGGCAAAGCTTTTTACACGTGATGTCTGTACAATCACGTGTACAGCAGCAGCTTCTTATTAGTATTATGTTCTGTTATTATGATAAATAATATTAATTTTTTTTTTATTTTCCCATTGTGAAAGCTGCAATAGCTTTTCCTTCATTAATCAACTTATGAATTTCAACGCCATTTTGTTAGGATCCGATTCGTCGTAGGTCCTTCCACAATATTTCAATTTGACTGATGGTTCAGAGGCATAAAATAGCGAGAACCATTATTGACATGCACTTCTGTGCTTAGAACTGTGAAATGCTGCTTGCCTCCTGTGTGCATTTAATAATACCGTACATAATTAGTAGAATTAATGATTGGACGATTATAATTAATTATTACAGGTCAACTCAGGATTTCCGTATACGATCGAATCAATATATGTAAAGCTGCTCATGTTTATTACAACGTAAAGTATAAATACAAGGCGGATAACTAATTATGTATTAAACGTCTGTTTGAAATTTGTTTGCCGTGCTAACATGCTTGCTCAGTAAATTTAATGCAAATAAAAAAAAGTATAAACATGATTGATGTCCAGCAATGCAATAAATAGATAAATGTGCAGTAAAGTTAAATACGTCTATGCTGCGCACGGCGACAGCCTAACAAGGGATCTGAAAAATTTTCAGAGCGAAGTAAGTCAAAGATTGACTTCTTCTTCGTTGTGGCAAGGAGGATTAAGAGGTTCCATAGGACGCGGGGTGGATGCCCTTAGAAAAGTAACATGAAGACGATATTAGTATCTTATTTATTACATAATAGCTTGTCCATATTGTTTGTGTTTGGTGTCTGTTGGACGGAGAGCCTTGATGGTGATTCTGATTGAAAAGTATTTTTTTTAGTCAACGATATGATTCTATTATTTGACAGATATAACTATCTCTATTTATTACACTAATTTACCTTGTGACTCTTGAGCCACGCATCTTCGCATTGGTTTGCTAAGCTGTCGAGGTGGCGAACGACGTATTCTGAGCATAGCACGGGTCACTCTTACAGCCAACGATGGAGTTTGGTAAGCATGTCGTACGTAAACCCTTGCACGCTCCCATAGGTGATCTTGTTTCTGTCTACTTGAAAGGTAACAACATGCTGGCGAACCCATAACATTGCAACGCGTTGCCGGACCATCGCTTCTTCCCTGCGCTTTCGTTTTCACAGCTTATACCAAGGCGAAAGGCGTCTACTATCATCCCACCGAGGCAGTTCACGCCAACGTTGAAAAGCTAGGCGTCTTGCGCGTTCTTGATACCTCCTCCACTCTTCGCTCCTCAGGTATTCATGACGGCGCTTCTGCCAGCCATGATGAAAGATGGTTAAAACTAGAATAGAAAATGCATAAAGGAGGAAAAAGATGTAAGCTGGGTAGTAATCCTGACCCGCAGGACTACTCGTTATTTCGCAACAAACAGCAAAAACACTCGATGCGGCCAGCACATCAAAATATCGCTTCCAAGAAGAAGCGAGCAACGAGAGCCAAATTATTCCAGCTGCATTCAGCCGTATTGCTACAGCAGAATTTGGAGCAGTTAGAAGGTCATGTAGTCTGTTGTAGGGTGCCATATTGTAAAAGCGCAAAGCGTGTTGTTTACTTACAGTAAGTCTTTAAATACGGCTTGTTCTTGAGCTGTTAAAACTGGAATTCTATAAAAAAGTTGAGTCAATGACGATAATTGTCGAATGTCCTTTTTTAGTATATGCTATTTGTGTCAAATATGGTATGTGTACCATTTGAAATTTTTCATTAACTACCAACTAATATTGTATTTACTTTCTGTCCGACTTGTGTTTTGTCTGAGGTGCTGTCAAGACTGAGTCTACAGTACATAGCATTTAACACGACAGCACATAGTAGGTAACGGCGTGCAAAGTCGAAAAGACAACTCGACTTTCAAAATTGAGGTGCTGCGCTTGCTATAATCGACTAGGTAAATTCATCGTTGAGAGGGCAATGTTTGGATGTTAAGCATTAAATTCAGGAAAAAATTTCTTATCATCAAGCCCGAAATCAAAGCTTAGCCATTGTATTAATAATTATCATGTCAAATAAACGATTACTATCAGTAGCAAGCAACTATATTGTCTACAGACATTAAAGCAAACTCATTCGTTAGGAGCGCTGACAAGGAATAAGGAATTTTTTAAGAGACGAATTTTAATTATTCTTTTACTAAGTAGTGTATGCTTAGGCTTAAGTATCAACTATTTTGATCACAAGCACTGAATGAAAGCAATCTATTGCTTAAGAAATAGCCGTCTTAAGCCGTCTTACGAAGTTCTAAGCGTAATGCCTGTAGTTTAGCAATATCATAGGCAGAGAAGTTCCAACTTTGTCGTACGTGGAAAAGGCAAGATGATTTCATAATACCGTATACTACTGTGAATAAGCACCCCAAGATTATCTAGATTAACTGCATGACGTGCCCACCCACAGTTCATTACATAAGTATACAAATCAAAAAACTTTATTTCACGTTTTTGTTCTCCTTGTTTCCACCAATTTTACCACAATATGCTTATCTAAAGTATTTGTGATGCCGCATTTCTTAAAAGACGTAACTATCATTTCTGCGGGAATGCTTCCATAATCCACCAGCACATTAATAGTACGTTTCTGGTTACTGCAATTACTGTTGTAAGCTACCCTCACTATGATAAGAGTGGGTGCTTATTCACGGTAGTATACGGTATTCGTTTTTCCAACAGTTAGTAATGAACTAACACAAACCAGATATTCGCGCGTGATGAATCGTATGACAGTTTACGATTTTTACAACCAATCATTATTAATAACTCAGTATCACGTGATTAAAATTCGGTATAAAGCGATATTAATATAAAAATCCTGTACTCGTATCAAATCTAAATATTAACGAAATGGGACCTGCTTCGGCATAATTATGACGCATTTTGGTGTTGACCAGGTTATGCGCTGTTATGGCTCATACCTGGGACGACAGAGCGATGAGGAGTCTCACGAGCTGCTTCAGCAGCACGGTGAGAGAGTTGCAGTATGTATTGAGTAGTGCACTGGAACTGCGCAGTATTTTTCTTATCGCTATTTTGTGTAGGCTGGGACAGAGTCGGCGAGCTGCTTGAATAAGAAGTTGCCACTGTTTCCCGTGTCGTGTAGGGAGCAGGGAACAGAAGTAGATGTGGTAGGTTTTAGGGAAGTCAAATGATATCTATGAAACGCACATACTAATACTAATTATCGTATTGATAGGGTCTTTGTGGTGCTGGTATTAGTTTCAGAGTTTCTAAGGTATTCATTACTTGAATTATTTTCCAACCTTTGTTCCTTTATTAACACATATTTGGTGGAATAGGGGCTGTTTACGGGAAACAAATATAAAGTCGAGAGTGATGGGGATGTTTCGGTGCATGTAAATGATGTGAAAGTAAGACCGGGGCGACAGATAATGGTCGCCCCGAAATTTATACTAAAATATACCATAGATCGTATATTAATATATACATGTAAGTAAAAACATAAACGATTTTGTTGAAGCATAGAAATATAGTCTTAACTGAACTTGTAATTTACAGACTACTTTCGAATTCTGTCTCATAATACTCAGGTATAAATGTTGTGCCGAATATAATATATCTGATATTTTTGCATTTTTAATTGATATTGATACACCACTTACAGTAATGTGATTATTCTCCTGTAGCAATATTACTGTATTAATATTAATATTGTACAATATCAAGACACAATTTGATCCCCACTGATACTGAGCACTATCACTAAACCTTGACAAACTACTCCAACTAGCCAGAAGTCTTCATATTTTCTGGTAGAACAGTTTGCTATCTAATACAATTGCAGCTATTAGGGCATACTGCTGCAACAAAACCAGACAAATAACAAAGTGAACATTTTATTATGTGACATAAATGAGGGGCTGATGTGGCTGAAGTTAACTACAGTCCTGGTCAAAAGTAATGGCAGAGAATTCTTTTTAAACAGGCATAATAACTACACAAAAAATTTTATTTTTCAAATGTTTATAAGCAAGTGTCTGAATTTTGAAAAGATTATAATGTGATACACTTTCATTGTCAAGTTATTTAAATTTAAGTGCAGTTGTTTGAGTTGCTGGTGCTACTAACTTTGCCTTTAAGAATTGAAGAAAACTCTAATAACTTTTATAACTTAATATATAGTGTGTAAATCGAAATAAGAAAACTATCAAACTGTTTGTCACATCATGATCAATTTAATAAAGCTATAATTATCAAAATACATTCATTCGTTATTGAGAAAACGAATACTGAAATATTTCTAATATTTTAACAGATAGAAAATTGCTCCAAATTTGCTACTATCAAACTTTTACAAACTTTGTTTTTCGCAACGGTTATACTGCACCGAATAGTACAACATATATGTACCCAAAAATTATGCGCGAATATATCTCGTGCAATGTGCCGGTATGTATTGTGGATAATAGTAAAACACACATACACACATTTATATTTATTTAATTTATTTATTTGATTTTCTTCATAGGCGGTTACATAGATATCAAATACCTGGTTCGCCCTCTTCCATCAGTCTATTTACTTAACCAGTTCTTATGTGCAAAAATACCTGTAACCTTCAACGATTTTGAAGATTTTTCAAAAGGAATAGTTGATCTTATGAACTGGCAGGTATGGGCTTAAAAGATGTATATTAATATCTCTTTGCTGGATATTTATAGTAACTGCTCTTGTTATTTCAGACTGATGTCCTGTTAACAGTTAAGAAGATTAATAAGGCTTGGGAAACTAAAAATGATGGAATACACATAACTCTGATACAAGATACACCACCAAAAATGGACAAGACAAGAAGTAAAGAAAGCAACTAATGATAATAATGATGATTTCCCACCTTCACAAGTCCTGGCTCGCCATGTTCTGAATTATCATCAAATTTGGACCCTTTTGTAACATAAGATAAAAATGGGGTGTCGTGGAAGGACCCATGGCACAAAAAATGTTCAGATCACGTGAAATTGTTCGGGTCGAAATACATAGTCAACCTCGTTAATCCGAAGAAATATTCTGGTCCCGATTTATTAATAAGAAATTTACCTCGTTTATCAGAATTTTTATAATAAATCTCTGTAATCCGCAATCCGAAGGCAGTTGTGAAAAACTTGTCATATAAAAATTCCTCGTT